CAGTCATCCCCAGCCCCCAAGCACCTGTCTCTGTTCATTGCATGAGCCCTTTCCAGCTGAAAGCATCCATTTCCACAGTTGTAATCTTGGATTCAGACTTTCCTTCTGAGACCCAATTCTGGCATGCAAAAGTCTTTTCCACAGACACTTGTCTGTCTGCAAACATTTCTCAATCTGACATGCTCTTCTCCCTTCACCTTCAGAGTAGCTCTCCCCCTTGTGTTTTATCACACTTAATAATTTCTCACCCATCACTACTCCATAGGCTCTCAATGATTCTCTCACGAAATCTCTCTCTCTCTCTCTTTCTTTTTTATTATAACATCTATTGACCAAAATCTGCTCTGAACCAGATACTGAGGGTGAATCTGCTGGTAGAAAGTTAAAAAGAGAGCAGTGACTTGGAGTCTTCAGTAGGGCTTGCAGTGTACTGAAGGAGACATGTATTAAAAAAGCAAAGGAACAGGAAGAAAATAGAGTTTCTAGTAAGAATTATGAGTACTATAAATAGGTTGCTACGGTGGAGAATAATGTCAGAGTATAAATTCTGTGTTCAAAGATTTCAAGGGAGGTAATATGCAGGTTATGACAAGAAGGATATGAGAGAACTAAGAAAATTGGAAGAGAAATGCTCCGGCCTAGAGGGCAGAAAGTTTACTCCTAAAACAGGAGAGAGTTCATGCCACAGTCGCTCAGCAGGCCAGTGAGGTTGAAGCATGATGAATGTTAAGAGTGTCTGGCATGAGGGCACAAGCTGGCATTTACGGAGTTCTTCTCTTGATGGAATTGTGGGAACTATTTAAGTGGATTGCCACATTTTTCACTTATATTCTCTTACAACTTTTATTCCTGCTTAGTGAATTAGAGAAGCAAGCCACAGGGAAATCTTGTCATTTGTGCAAGTTCACACAGTTACTGCAGTGGGCTGAGATTTCAGACCAGACAAGTTGATTCTTGGCCTGTTTTACAATGCTGTCTCTTCACACTTACATTAAGACAGTTTTTTTCAGATGCTTTATAAACATTATAAAGAGTTTGGATTTTATTTTTGTTAAAAATGTAGTTACTAATGCTTCTTTAAAAAAGGGATGCAACGATCAATCAATCCCCAATATTCCTTAGAAGACTTCTCTTGGCTTTTCTTCACCTTTCCATTTCATTTGTGCTAGTCAACCACGCTTGGTATTACCATCAGATTTCAATACCTCTAACAGCTTAAACCAGAAGAGCCATGTCCCACTTCAACCTCTTCAATAGCTCCCTGCAACCTGTAGAGGAAGATCCAACCTCAACCTCCTCAGCCTGGGACAAATAGCACTTGGAGATCTGTCCTTGCCACTCCCCTGTCTTGTGCAAACCATGTTTGCTTCCTCAGCTCCAACCACTCAGAATGAATCACTGTTCCTGAATATGCACTTGCCCATCTCCTAGCAACAGGGAAGAGAAGACAACGGATGAACAGAACTTTTGCTAAACAGACTACGTTTCCTGTTCTTTTCACTGTTACATACTTGTCTCCCTGACAAGTACACATTTTCCTGACTGAACAGTACTTCCTGAAGGCTAACATTTCACAGTCCTTACCTCACTGATTTAAATGGCTCATTTCACCTGTTACTTAAAAGAAAGTTCACCTGTGAAGTAACTCCTAAACCCTTACCATCCATAGAGTGAGAGCAAGCCATCTTCTCACTGTCTCTGCTACCCACAGATGCCCCATGACCTATCACACTCATTTTAAGGTTTTATCACTTGCAATTTGATGAATAAAATATGACCCATTTGAAAGGATTAGTTTTATTCATACAATGCCTGGATATATGATAATAAAAGCCTGTATAAATGATAGAAGATGAATAAATAAACTACCATAATTCAAAACTTAAGCCAAAAAGAAATCAATGGTGAGCAGGTGCTGCATGATTTATTATGTTAGGGACCATACACCATTTCAAATGACACCATACAAACTTAATCTACTATTTAAATTTCTGCAAACAAAATCAACCTAGTACTATCTGAATCAGTTTGTATGTCTGTTTAAGTACATCTTAAAGGTATATAATGTTTGGATCATGAAGTTCAGAATTTAGAAATCTGAAGAAAAATTTTCATAAAATGTATAATGATACTATATAGTTATTTAATGCAAAAAAAAAAACTTTGCATGGAGATAATGTGACATAGGTGAACCCAGTTCAGAGATTAGGTGATAGTTGTCAGAGGGCATAAGCAGCCACTAATTGGTAGAACCCAATTTGAACCCAAGTTTTCTGAATCTAAATAGCATAAGTCATTTATGCCCAACCTGAAAAGAGGATATAGAGTCTTCTAAAAATATTTACTTTGAAAACAGTGCTCCAAATATGTACTATAAGTTGGAAATAAAACTTAAGTCTACAGAGGCATTAAATTTTAGTTTCAAGTCAGCTACAAAGGCCCAAAGTTCAGATTTCTCAAACCACTTGAATTTTTAATGAATCCTTTTTGCTACAAAGGCTTAAAATCTTGGAGCTTTTATCTGAGTCTGAAGCAAATGCTGTTTTTGTCTTGAGAATATTCATGTATTTCAGACATTTTGCCATTTTCTAGCCCAGAAAATCCAAATAGTATTACCTTTATCCTCTCAGCATAAAATGAATTTTAGATAATTTATTTCTAGGCCAGAATTAATAGTTTTATATGTATTTGTGATGTTGTTTTGTGCAGTGACTATGAAAAATCATGACATTCCAGTTTGTGATTAACTTTTAACTTCATGTTCTAGAGACAGATTTTAGAAGGAAAGGCCATCGCTCAGTTTTATAGAAAAACATCCTTGAAAAATGACATACATTTAAACCATTTAATTTGAATGAGAAATAGAAATAGAAAATTACCAATGAAGGCATAGTAATTAAATTGTTTTCAATGATTACTGGTCCATTTATTATAGAATTATATATTTTCCCTAAATTTTTTAAATTTTTAAATAAGATATATACGTATCTAATATATATCATATATAGTATATATACACATATAGAATTTACCTTCAGGAAGGATCATGAGCAACAAAAAAAAATGATAAAGGAAGATCTTTTGTTGACAGTCCTCTCCAACACTGCTTCAGCTTTCATCTTAAGGATGCCAGAGATACAAGACACAGCCTTCCAGTCTGAACTTCAATGAGCCTTGATATCCTTGGCTTTGAGAGTGGATTAGCTGCATAATTACATTACCCTGGGGCAATGGTACTGAACGACACATCACTGTCAGCACCTTCTTTTAAAACTCTATTGAACAATCATCTGTTCAAGAAAATTCCCTGAACTAGTGTCACTTAATAATTATCATGAATATAAGAAGAGTCGCCCAGATTTAACCTAGGGAAAATGGAAGCAACGAGGATGATGCAATTCAACAATACGAGAAGTAAGTAGTGTTGATCTAAAATTGGTTTGACCCAGAGATGGTCTACTCTGAGACCCTATCCCTGGACAGGGATGGTCTACTTGCTTGTATACTACCTGAAGTATGTGTTCTCAGAAATACCAGCAATGGCCCATGGCAACACCTGAACTTCCCTAGCTTCGATTCCCTGATGTAAGTCTACCCGCCCCCCCGGGTGTTCAACCTTCATTACCCCAGAGGTTGTGCCCTTCATTATTCTTATAAAGAACAGTTTGCCAATTTGCTTCTGTTGAGGTTGGAGTTGTCTTCCTTCTTTTCTCAGTCATCCTAGTCCATTCTTTTTTTTTAAATTTTAATATTAGTTACAGTTTATTAACTTTGTATCCCAGCTATATCCCGTTCCCTCATTCCCTCCCATTCCCACCCTCCCTCCCTCATCTTCTCCCTATGCCTTTCCAAGTCCACTGATAGGGGAGACCACCTCCCCTTTCATCTGACCCTAGCTTATCAGGTATCTTCAGGCCTGGTTTCAAAGTCCTCCTCTGTGGCCTAGCAGGGCTGCTCCTCCTTCAGGTCGGGGGGGGGGGTGGTCAAAGAGCCAGCCATTCAGTTCATGTCAGAAATAGTCCCTGTTCCCCTTACTAGGTTACCACTTGGACACTGAGCTACCATGGACTACATCCGAGCAGGGGTTCTAGGTTATATCGATACATGGTCCTTGGTTGTAGATACCATCCAGAAAAGACCCCTGTGCCCAGATATATTTGGTCCTTGTGGAGCTCCTGTTCTCTCCAGATCATACTAACTCCCCCTTCTTTCATATGATTTCCTGTACTCTGCCCAAGGTTTGGTTATGAGTCTCAGAATCTGCTTTGATACACTGTTAGGGAGAGACTTTCAGAGGCCCTCAGTGTTAGGCTGCATTCTTGATCAAACAACCAGAGATGATAAAGGACAGAGAATCCATTACCAGCAGAGAAAGAAAGAAAGAAAGAAAGAAAGAAAGAAAGAAAGAAAGAAAGA